TGTTGCATTCTTCATCTGTGATGCTGTTCCAGGCTTTTACCGCAGCTCCACCGTGCTTCACAGATGAGCTTGTTCCTTTCTTTCTCCACAGTTTGGCCTTTCCAGCACTTTGGTAGAGATAGATCTTGTCCATAAGATTGTGTTACTGAACTTTTGCGGCTCATCTCTGTACTTCTTTGCAAATTTTAATCTGGCCTTCCGATTCTTCCTGCTGATGAGTGGTTTGCATCTTGTGGTGTGGCCTCTATATTTCTGCTCTCTTGAGTCTTCTTCCAGCAGTTGATTGTGATACCTTCACCCTGCACTGTGGAGGTCGTTGCTGATGTCACTTACTGATGTTTTGGGGGTTTTCTCTCACCATATCTCTGTCCTCAACTACTGTTGTTTTCCTTGGCCGACCTGTTCGACGTCTGTTGCTCAGTACACCAGTAGTTTTCTTTGTTTTCAGGACATTCCAAATTGTTGTGCTTGCTATGCCCAATATTTGTCCAATGGCTCTGGTCAAATTTGAAATGGAAGTAATGTATCATCCCGTTAGGCTCCGCCCTCAGGGGACTTCCCAGCTTGCTCCATCAGCTATGACCTTATTTTCACCTATTTACATCTGATCTAGAAGAAAACAATGCAGGTGTAAATGCAGTCAGCATCAGTGACATCTGGAAGTGGGGTGGCTTATACTGTGATCTTAGCCAGGTGTACGTAGCACCTGTGCTGTGTAGTCACATATTTATGTTTAAATCTGGTTTCTGCTGTCTGAAGCTGCCCCTACAAAAGCTGCAGTCAAGCTGTTTTCTCATAAAACAGTGTAGCCTTTCATGAGCCACCTACCTGCTTAATGATTTTATAAAACGCAGGCAGATTTGAGATAACGAGAAGGCTTATTAATTTCCAATGCAAAAGGACTGCCGTCAGAAACAAATCACAGGTTAATACAGGTTAATAAGTCTAAAAGACTTATCTGATGATATGAACGCGTCCTGTTGAATGATGGTTTATTATTTGTGCCATTCATTACAGAGCTCCACATTACTACCTTGTTCACTTGCGTTAAAGCTTATTAATCAGTTTTGCCATCCATATTTTTGCAGCTTCTTGAATTTGAACCACATTTTTTTGTCAGAAACTTATTAAAGTTACAAATAATTAAACGTTATCAGTGTTGGAATTTTTAAAGAGAAACTAACTGCCTGAACTTTCTCACAGACCATGAAAGAAATTAAATGAAACAAAAACACAGACAGTGAGAACGAGGAAATATTGCATAAATAACAAAAAATAAACTAAATTCATATCAGTTCAAATTAACAAATTAATATAGAAAATAAATAATTTAATTCTGTACCTCTCGTCCATGTAGTCGGCCAGCGGCTCAGCTGTGTTTTGCCTTTCTCGTTTCACAGATTGTGTGTGTGTGTGTTTGTGTGTGGAGGTGGGGGGGTTGGCCCAGATCCCCGGGCTAATTGGTAGGATCCGCTTAACGAGTTAAACGAGGTGAATTGGGGGGGGGATCAGGTGGTCTGCTGCTCCGGAAACTGACACACACACTTTCTCTCTCACACACAAACTATGTTTTCCTCTCTCACTTTTTCTCTCACACACCATCATCACCATCATCATCATTATACACACTTACTACTGTGATCTTGCTGGGGTTTAGAGGGGTTTCCCACCCAGAACAGCAGGTCTTCATTCCAGTTTAAATTGTCCTGGAGGAACCAGACAGACCAACTTTCCTGAAGTTAGATTCACTTCAAGGTCACTCTGCTTTGACGTTTAATAATTTTTGTTCAGGCAGTCCTTGATCATCAGTTTTGTCTGAGGGTGTAATCGGTTATTGGAAAGCAGCAAGGTCATTGGTTGAGTTGTCGGGGCATGTTGCCATGATAACCAATCAACAGCATCGATCTATTGCCGTTTGGGTCCGAGCCGCAGCCAATCAGACGCTAGAATTTTGCAACGTGAAACCAGGCATGTGACAGCCGGACACAGATCTGTAACACAAACAACACACACACTGCCAGCTGGGATCAATACACACACAGAAATATACACACTTTGATAATTGTTATATTGATTACCCTCCCGCTCATGTACACACACTGAACTGAGTTATGTTACATTGCTAGAAAAGGGATTTAAATGTAACACAATAACACATTGTTAACATATAGTGACAAAAGTCTAATTAAAAGCCACTAAAACAAAACCACTCAAATAAAAAGTCAAATTGTGAATAATCTAAAAAACATTTTATTCTAAAATGATTAAAAAAAAAATTAAACTCTAAACCATTTAAAATCAGATTAATTAATACAATGACCAATTAAAAGTAAAATTATTTACACAATAGTCCTCTGTAGATATTTTAGTGTATTTTGTTTCCTGGAGCAACTAAAATTTGTGTGAAATTTGTGAAATTTGAAACGTGCATTAAAACTTTATTTCAAAGCTCCATTTTGAAATTGTCGCACAACAAAAGTGTGAATTTAATTTCTTAGTTGAACAGATTTTCATACCTTTTTTGTAACAAATAATTGTTTAGTAATCTAGTTATTTAGGAATCCACTGTACTCGTCCGATGCATTGGCGCCACATGAGACAACCAGTTTCCTCCCTCTCTCTCAGTTAAGTGTCTATCTCTCTTGATCTGTATGTACACACACACACACACACACACACACACACACACACACACACACACACACACACACACACACAGGTCAGAGATCACTTCCTGATGTGAAGTATTGACCCACAGGCCTGGTTTCCTCTTACACAACCAGAAACTGTGAAGTAGCTGGTTCCAGTCGAGTTGTTACGTATTGACCATCCAGCTATGGGACATCCTGCCTGCAGGGTGTGCGTGTGTGTGTGTGTGTGTGTGTACAATACAGATACAGTGAGATGATTAACTAATATACAGGACCAGACGCTCTGGGGGCCCCTCATTGAACATGTGTTGCTTTTATTTTTATTAGTTGGATTTTGTTTTCTTTTTTAACAGCGCTACAACGACTCAACACTTTAGTGTATATATAAATATTTTAAATCAGCTTTTCTATGTGCACGTTAATATCATATAAGTAAGAAAAACTTATAGTCATTTTGGATCTAAATGTAAAAACAAGGTGTTGCTCCGACACCAAAGCAACCTCACTACTCTACTCTCAACTAACAGAAGGTTAGTAGAAGGTAACACGCCCACCACTTGCTTTATCACTTTTGTGGTGAAGGGAAATAAACCCCCCAAAGATCCAATTCCAATTGTACAAATCACCTCTGCATTGATTTATTTGTAAAAGTTGAGAAGATCTTTGAAGACTAGAAAGACATCTCAGATGCCCTTCCTTTTGTTCATATGAAGCATATGCTTTCTAATTGGTTCATATAACTTTAATATGTTACATAACAGTTTTAAGATTAAGTTTGCAATCTAGGACACTGAATGTCAACAGAAACAAAATAAATAAACATTTAGGACATTTTAATCCTCCACATTTAGTTTGTTTGGACACCTCCAGCACCTGTTTGGACCTGAAGTGAAGTGAGTGAAAATGTTTGTGTGAATTTGAGTCTGGACTCTCACTCGTCAGAAAGCAGCCTGGACTGGATGGACTGATTTCTGCTGATGTTAAACATCAAAACAATTTTTTTTTCACCAGCAACTTTTTGTTTGTCAAACATAGAAAACATCACTTTCTCCGCAGCAGCCTGTAGTGAATTGGAAGACTGATACAGGAAGCTGCTACCTGATCCAACTGACCTCACCTATTGTAGTACACACACACACACACACACACACACACACACACACACACTCAGCTGTGGTTAAACAGAAGCCAATCTGGCTGAGAGCAGCACTCCGACGTAGTGATCAGTTACCAAGTGTCTCAGGCATTATTCAGCACACACTGAGTAATCAACCTGCACTAGAAACCATGATACCACGGAGTGAGTGTGTGTGTGTGTGTGTGTGTGTGTGTGCGTGTGTGACGGGTTAACTAAAGGATAGAGAACGAAAGGGAAGGAGAGCAGGAAGAAAGATCTGGAAGAAGACTGGAGAAGAGCAGCGTCTGATGATTTGTGTTTCCTGGTTGCTGCACAGAAGTTGATTTATGTTCAGTTTGAGGCTTAAACAAGCATTTTATGAACACTGTGACAGCTACATTAACACACCTTCCTGGTGATAAGAGGCTGAAGTGTTCATTACAGCCGCAATCTGGCGATTTATCTGTTTGCATCCATGCTGGCGACATGGCTCTATGGACGGCAGTGTTGGATCCGTTCACATCATTAGTCAGGATTGAAATATCTTGATAATTAATTGGTGGACCGCCATGAAATTTTTCGTCTAGCACCCCTACAGGGCAAAGTTTTTACTTAATGAACTGTCTGATCTACCACATGGATTGGAACAACATTTTGTACGTGATCATGTCTCCCAGATAATGTTGATGAATTGTAATAACTTTGGTGATCGTCTGACTTCCAAAAAGTGTCCCTGTGTCTTTAACTGCTTCGTGCTTGTAAAATATCCACCGTCTCCTCGTCTTCAAACGTAGCCAAATACAAGCATCTCTGTGTGTTTCTCTGCAGGTGTAAATTGCGAGCATTGTTTACTTGCAGGCCTACAACATGTTTTATCTCGCACATGTGTGTGTATCTGTCTGTGTGGTGATGACATTAGCCGGGTTACTGTTGGTGCACATGACGTAAAAAAATATCCAGGGCAGCATGTGTGTGACTGGCAGATAATCAGACATTTGACGCTGCTCTGTGCCGAGCTCGGTGCAAAAAGCAGCCAATTCAGGTCTCCAGCCGGTTGATTGGTGCATCCCTAGTAGCAAGTAGACCAAATTATGTTTTAGTCATATGTGATGTGTCTGTACATGTGTCACTTCAGCTGTAACACATGTGTTATCACGTTACTCTTAAACTAGCTTTTAACTCGATGGTTAAGGTAAAACTGACACCTTGTGTCTCTCTCTCTGTGTCTCCAGCTGTTGAACCTCTTCCTGGCTCTGCTCCTCAGCAGCTTCAGCTCTGACAACCTGTCAGCGCCAGACGACGATGGGGAAATGAACAACCTGCATATCGCCATCCACAGGATCGCCAGAGGCCTGGCCTGGTGCCGCAGACAGGTACCTGTTTGTTTCTCTGTATATAAGCTTCCAGGTGACGCTCTGTTCAAGAGCTGAAATACGGCCTCTCTCTGTTCTACCTTCTCATGTTGTGTTTGTGTGATGCAGGTGGTGGATTTCTTCAACGGGAACCTGAAGCGTCGTCGTCAGAAGCGAAAGGAAGCGAAAGCCATGATGAAGCTCAAACGCCTGAGTACCATCCACACTGAGGCCAATGGAGCTGTCATAGGTAACACACACACACACAGATACCATATCAGGATAAATGTATCTTTCCTCCACTAAACACAGATTCAGACTTCTCTTCTTACCTTAATATTCTTGGGAATCTGTCCGCTTTCCATCCCTCAGTATCCAACATCATACGGCTGTTTCTAGCAGAGGCTGTTTCACAGTATAGGGCATTTAAGGACGCTGGGAAACCTGAGACTTAAGTCACATGCCAAAAAATATTGTTTTTTTCAGCTGTCACTAAAATAAAACAATGATGAAACATAAACATTGCAAGCTGGACATTCTGAAAATCGCTGCTGCAAAAACCTAAGCAAGCACCAGAGTCTGTGTTGTAGCTAAACAGCCTGTGGTGCCTGGTCTCATTCCATGGCGTCAAATACGGACGCTCTGAGAAAGCCTGACAAAGCTTCCATATTTAATGGACAAGGTACCCTTCAATGTCCATATGGGACGCTGTGGACTTTCAAGTAACTCCAATGTAACCCATCCTTATTTCAACACAAAACATGATTTTTTTCTAAACTTAAAGGCGCTTTGTAAGGCTCTCTCAAAGCGCCAATATTTACCTGTGATGTCATAAAGCTGTGTCACTCCACTGAGGAATACATTATATGGCCAAATGTTTCCACATAGTAGGGTACTTTTGCTCTGAGAGGGAATGAAGGGAAATCTTAGTTAGATATAAAAGTTTAAGACTGTTTTAAGCTACAGCCAGTCTGTCTCTTTTTCTCTGTCCCAGGCCGTCACGTAGAGAAGTATGTGGTGCCGGAGGACGACAGCTACATGACGAACCCCAACCTGACCATCAGCGTCCCCATCGCCCCAGGAGAGTCTGACGTGGAGTTCCCGGAGGAGGAGGAGGACGAGGAGGAGGAGGGGGAGGAGGAGCAGAGCGAGGCCTCCGAGGAAGAAGAGGAGGAGAGGGTGGAGGTAAGGATGAGATCTGCTTTCTAGTTCACACACACACACACACACACACACACACACACACACACACACAAGTGCACCTGTGTCTGACGTAAACAAGCTCAGGTGTGTGTGAATCAGCTGTTGTTCCCCCCTGAGGTTACCATCTAACGACTGCATGTCTGTCAGCTGGTCTGGGTGTGTGTGTGTGTGTGTGTGTGTGTGTGTGTGGACTGTAACACTTACATCTAAAACAGAAATGAGCAGTAAACAGATGATACATTTCGAATGACGGAACATAACTAAGAACATTTACTTAATTTGACACACTTTGGGTTGGGAACAAGATGCTGCCTCCAGTAAAGGAGTTTTAGTATGTTGGGGTCTTGCTCCCGAATGGGACCATAGATTACATTTACTCATTTGGCAAAGCGACTTACATTTGAGGAACAACATACAATCCTCAACAGAGCATCAAATACAGCCCGAGATCTACAACTGACAATACATATTAATAAAAGCAGCAATAAATACTAGCAAGTGCTAATGGCACATATCGCATCAATGGGGTAAATACCTAGGGAAAGAAGTTAGTTAACAAAAAGTGCAATCAATACAAGATAATTTACATTACAAAAAGATAATTTACATTACCATAGCACTGGTTTTACATGGTTTAGCTCATCAACTATAAATTCCAGATATTTTACTTCATAGCTGAGAGCTTTTTCAATCATTCTGTCTGGTTTTTTAATTGATTTCCTTTCTTCCATACAGCTGCATCCCACGGAGCAGTATGGCAGCCCATAGAGGACTATATTAAAATGAAAACTTAAACTTGAAAATGTAATTCCACAAAAGTATTAGAATTTCCCACGCACAGTATGTGTTATTTGATTAAATTTGAATGAAAATGCAATAATCCAATTTTCATTTTCATTAACACACACTCGTGTGGGTGTTCTATATTAAAATGAAAATGGAAAGACCCGCATCGATGAGATGACTGAAAATTTTCGCTTTCATTTTGACAATTCAATAGACTCTGGGCGCTGTTTTCCCTTTTGTACATGTGCAATAGGTTAAAAAGCCCAAAGTCCAGCCCAAAGGGAGTTCCCATCTCTCACCATTCTGAAACTCTTGCTCCAGTCCATGTTGCCAAGCTGGTAAGCGAACATATACAGCTGAAACGAAGCCGTATTTACAGGCTTCTCATGCTTCTGATTAGCTAGTAGTCCTTAACTACTCCCAAGATCATGTAGAAGCAAGATGTATTGCTCCTTAGATAAAACTAAGGGTTCAACCCACAGGGTGAAAAGAGGAGCTGCAGGAATGTGCAGTATGACAACAATATGTAATATATGTTTTTTGAAAATGAAACCATATTTCTGGTACAAACCCTAAATAAGATTTGGAATCTGAAAATGAGCATAATATGACCTCTTTCTTTGAAAATGAAATTTTAAATTCCGCTTTGATTTTCAAATTGTTGGAAAAGTGAATTTTAATTTAAATCATGACTTTAATGCTTGCAAAATGGAAAAAAAATATTTTTATTGAATCTGTTCTTGCTATTTCTAAGATTGCATTGTATGGTAACCTAACCATTAGGGACAAAAACCACCTAAACAACATTGTGACGATGGGTGGTCAGGTGATAGGTGTCTCATAGACTCCCCACACTGCTATCTATGACCAGCAGGTTCTCCGCAAGTCCGGGTCTATAGACTACCTCTTAATTCTTTATCAAATTACACAAACATATGTAAAAAAGTATATATGCTATTGTGAAATTAAATTTTCAAGTTTATGTTATCATTTTAACATAGTCCCTCATAGGCCTCTGTAGAGAAGGAAAATTAGAAAATTCTCCTTGGTGGTGGATTCAGAGAAACCTGATCCTCACACTGACTTCACTTACATGAACATGGTTTCTCAGATGTCTGAGCGTCGTTGAACGCAACACTGAGGAGACATTTGAAACATATCTGCTCACATCTGCATTATCACAAGAAGCCAAAGAAACTTGGACAGAATAAAGTTGAATACATATTGACATGGAAATTACATGGAAACACTATTCAAAATATTATTAATATTATTCATCAGGTTAACGTATTCTGAATATTTTAGCCCATGTAAACAGACTGCCTCTCTCTCTTTCTATAAACAGTATCTTTGTAATGGCTCAATTCATAGCACACACACACACACACACATGCAAACACACTCACACAGTAACAGAATTGGAGGCCTCAGGCAGTGCATTATGGTCCGGTATTTTTCCCACTCTGCAACACTGCGTGTGTGATGTGTTTGTGCTAAAAGGGTGTATATTATTGTGTGTGTTTGCATGTATGTTTGTGTGTTTTGTGAATTTAGGGTATGAGTTAGTGTGCGCCTGTGTGTGTGTGTGTGTGTGTGTGTGTGTGTGTGCCTCCTGTCTCTCTTCATCTATTCACAGTACAAAAGTCCAACTGAGCCGCAGACACCTTGTGTGTGTGCTTGTGTCTGTTTGTGTGCATGTTCTTTCTAAGAGTTGTTACGCATTTTCCAAATTGTGTAATATCTCCTAAAATCTCATGAAGCTAAAATGTCTTACAGGGTGTGTGTGTGTGTGTGTGTGTGTGTGTGTGTGGTTTTTGTTGTGTACTGAGGCAGCAAGTGGAGATGAAGAGGAGGGAGAGGAGATGTTTAGTTGTGTCCTCTCTCCTCTCTTTGTATCTAACATGAAATGACAGATTTGTGTCGTGCTGTGTCTCGGTGTGTATGTGTGCATGTGTGTGCGCTCGTATATGTGTGCGTGTGTGTGCACACCTGTGCTGACTCAGTTCATCATCGCCTCTCCTCTTTAATCATGTTGTGCACCTGTTCTCTCTCTCTCTCTCTCTCTCTCTCTCTCTCTCTCTCTCTCTTTCTCTCTCCATGTCCCTCTATCACAGTGGTTCCCAACCTCTGGGTCAGGACCCCCAAAGGGTGTCACTAGATATTCATCTTCATCTAAGGTGTCCTGAGATGATTCACAGGAGAAAAAGGAAATTTTGCAAAACAAAAAATTTTTTTTTTTTCATAACTTTTCTTTAATCTTTTTAATTTTCCTATGTAATATTTAGACATTAAATTCATTCTGGCCTCTAAATTGCTAAAGTTCAACAATCGACCAAAGAAAAAGCTCTCTGTTGATGTAATACATGTGTCATGGGGACACAAGCAGAAAAGGTCTGAAACCATTGCTCCATCATCCACGTTTGTACACCTGCCTCTCTCTCACGGAGTTATGATTCATGTATGCAGATCAAATAACACACATACTATAAGCAGCAAATGTATACAAACATATTCTAGCATGCATGGTGCAGCAGCCAGTTAGCCATGTGGTGAAACATGCAAATGCAGTGAGAGCTGCAGAAAACACATACTGTCCTGATGTGAAAGGGCAGCCTAAATAGAACAAAACTCAAGAACATGTTTCCCCCCAAAAGGTCTGTTGTTGAGGCAGAAAGAGAGAGGGAGACAGAGACAGAGAGAGGCTTGTTGGAGGGGGGGTCAACAGAGAGAGAGAGAGAGAGGGATGCAGGGCAGTCAGAGAGCATCACTGCTTTCACAACTCTTTAGCGTCAAGCTTTGTTTCCAGCATGTGTGAGTGATGCAGCTGGGCTTTTTTTTCTCTCTCTCCCTCTAAAATCTCACTTACTCTATTTCTCCAGCTGTTAATTGAGTTGAAAACAAAAGAGAGGAACGGACCCACGTTTTTATTCCCATCCTCATATTCCATATCACTGGTCTTTAATTTTACTCTCAGATTTTCTTATTTCACTTTAAATCCCCTGATTTTCCTCCCAGCTCACTGTGTTGGAAACTGTGAACTGAACTTTGTTGCGTAACAGTCAGCGAGCTAAGGAGAGTGTGTCCTGACATGATTTGAATGTTTCCTGAATGGTTTAGCCCACCCATTGTAGAAATAAAATGGTGCATATGATGTGAGTTTCTGTCTCACAGAATGGATATTCAGAAACTGATTTTTGTGCATAGTTTAAGAGAAATTTGACAATGTTTCTAGAAAAGCTGCCACATTTCCCAGTTGGACAACCGCTCGTGTTTAGAAAGGGACTGTGTTAATATGTAAGTGAATCAGCTGGTGTATAGGCTACTTGAAATGTTGCTGTTAAGGCTTACTGCGCCGGCTGAGGGAAGCAGAAACCTTTATGAGCCCAGAAATACACCGATCAGCCATAACATTATGACCACCGACAGGTGAAGTGAATAACACTGATTATCTCGTTACCATGGCACCTGTCAGTGGGTGGGATATATCAGGCAGCAGGCCAACATTGTGTCCTCATAGTTGATGTGTTTCTGTAGGTCAAATTTCTAAAAAGGTTGATGCTGGTTCTCATAGAAAGGTGTCAGAACACACAGTGCAGTCCATGCCTCGATGGGTCAGCGCTGTTTTGCTGGCAAGAGAGACCAGCAGGTGGTCATAATGTTACGGCTGATCTCTGTATTTTGCAAAATGAATTTCCATAGCCATATCTGAGTCATCAGTAATTTCAAAGTAATAGAGGTTATAGAAAACAACATCTACCCAGCTTGGTATCCCGGGGAATTACATCCATATTGGATGATTCTGCATCTCCCGATTTACATCTAGATGTAAATCTCCAATGTTCAGTGCCAAGACAGGAAGTAGTGTGTCCCTTCCAGTAAGCAGAGAGGTGGAAAGTAAGGGAGTGGAAGTTGACTTCCATGAAGGTGACCGGATTTGCAAATAATACAATTTCTTATTAGGGCTGACCCCCAATAGTCGAAGATTCGATGCTTTGATGGGCGGAGCCTGATTCGATTGTCAATCTCACAGTCGAAGCTTCGCAGTGAAACAAGGATCATGCCATTTTGGCGATATGGGGGTGCTCAACGTCTGATTTTACATAGAACTACCAGTTTTCTCCCAATAAGTGAATATACAGCCTATTACAATATACATTTCAACATTTAATGCTGTAAATAAATATGTAAAAAGAATA